AATCCACGTTCTGCAATACGTCTAAACCCCTCACTGTAACTGACAACATTACCTGCTAAGAAACTGCGCCTCTGCCCCCTCCAAACACGCATATCGAAGAATTGTTCCATTATATTATATGATATTTTATATATAATAACTTTTTTGAACTCATTTTCTTTCGTTGTAATAAAAGCAGCGAGTACGCTTCAGGTTTTTTATCCTGGAAAGCAATAAGCGTTACTTTCACAATCAATGAATGACGCAGTTGAAGATTTGGCTAGTCATAGCCCTGCCATATGAGTCTTAGCTGCTCGTAGACGGGAGGCAATCTCTGTTTTACTTTTTATAACACAATTTCAGTCCAGCAAGAAGTGAACCGTGGATGTAGCTGCACCGTGAGTATTTCCGGTATGATATGTCGTGTGATAAGCGTATCAGTACAATCCCGAATACGAAATCAAAGCGAAGGCTGTGAGTGAAGACTTTTCCCACCGTGTCTCGCGGTTCTACATGAGGACTATGGTTTGAGGAGTAGAGACTCATAATGATCCAAAGTACTCGATGTTTCGGGCGACAAGTAGAAGAGGACTCCAACTTCTGATACGTTAAGTTGCTTAGTAAGCCATTTCTGCGGCTTACAGCTTCACGGCTTGTGATATCTGCAGAGCCACATGCATGCATCCTGTACCTTTTTCTCTGACACAGCCTTTTCGCTCTCGTCCCGGTGTGTCTCACAAGCGGTTCCGTTTAAATGCCACTTCATAAACATTGAAATATCAGTTCATACTCCAGATTATGTTAATTTGCGTCTATCGTTTTGAAGACCAGAGTACTGTGCAGAGGAATCGAGGAGTCATGCGCAAATTAACATCCTCCCGCTGAAAGTTCACGAGTCCGTTTTATGTTGAGGATCACGCTTTAAAAATACATTCCAATAAGCACAAGATTTCTGTAGCAAACGAAGTAATCGAATTGCTTCCAGCTGTACAGATATTATAGTATCGAATATTATGGAACCGTTTATTGCTGGAATGACAAAATTTAGAACATGGGCAGCTCAGTGCACTGTGAAGATTCCTCTTGAAGATGCTGTTCGTCAGTTAGCGTGTTCTGGTGTATATACATGTGACTTGTGTGTCGTGAATAATGCCTACTTGTG